TAGTGACAAATAAACCTTTTACAGACTATGCCTCTTCCCTGGAGAAAAAACACCAACTGACAGAAAGATCACGAGGCAGAGCTGGACCACACCAGGCCAACAGAGGACAAGCAGTAATTGGGGCAGGCGGGGGGCGGATATGGCAAAGCCAACTGACCAAAGAGGAGTAGAGCACAAACATTCAAGGGATGCACAGGTATGAACCCTGCCCGCCTGATCCTTCCAGCTGCCTTATTAGTTTCTATTCTAAGCCACATGCATTTAAAAAAAAAAAAAAAATTCGAGTCTCTGAGGTATAAAGCAGTGTGTCTCAAACTTTAATAACAATATGAATCACTGCGAGATGGTTCAGTGGGTAAAGGGACAGGGGGGTGGCAGGTCCCATATTCTGCCCTTTTCTAAAGACACCAAGCAGCAAGCAAACTACCAGGGCCTGGCAAAGTTGCTGGTCCACAGACCACAATTTCAAGTCTTCCAGAAGGACCAATCTAAAACCAATTAAAAAGTACTGGTGGATCTGTTCACTACTTTGGATTCCATTTTCATATAGGTCTGACCTACTATGGAATGTGTATGCCCCCAGATTATAAAAGGACTCTAGGGCTGCAAGATCCAATATGCAGACAGGCTGTCTCTGTCCAGATTCAAAACTTCACATCCTGTCCTGGTATCCTGGAATGTTTATATGAACTTTTGACCCACCCTAAAAGTACACCGTTCATAGGTTGCTGATGGCCATAATTACTCTAAAAGACATCAAATGCTATAACATTCAGGAAACTTTCTCCAAAGGCAGGCATTCCCCCCAACCACCATATAGAACCTCAAAAGAGATCTACAAATCTTAATATAAGTGGTTTTCTGTAACACATTTTGAAAAACTAACAACAATGATGACTGCCTTTGGATCAAAAATATTTAAGAATCTTTTTAGTAAATATAGAAATTAGGTTCATATTTCACACCGCACACTAAGAAATGTTGCAGGTGAATTCAAGTTAAGCTTAAGATATAAATCAAACCATAAACTTACTGGAGAAGATAAAGGTGAATATCATTTGATCTGAGGTTTTAAAAAAAAGGCACTTCTAGGGATAAAAGGAAAACAAGAAACCCAAACAGGAAAGATGGTTAATTACAATCCTTTTAAAGTTTTTGTCTCAAAAAGCACCAGAAACAGCATTTAAAAAACAAAGCGAAGAAAATGCCACAAACAATGCAAAGGGCTTTAAAAAGGTCAGTATATATGAAAAGCACTAAAATTCTAACAGGAAGGGGAGAGAAGAGCATAGAATATGAACAGGGTGTGGTAGGGACACCCAAGATGATCTCCTGAGTGTGTGGGAAGGAAGTATTAGTGTTATTTTTTTAACCTGACCCTTAAAAAAAAATCTCTATTTGGGGCTATGTTTTATAATTTACATATATTAGGACAATACTGTATTTATAAATATGAATAAATGGAAATGAATTTTTTTTCCAGATGGGGTAGAGATAAAAACTTTGGAGACCATACAGAAGAATACTAATTAAAAAAAAATGTTTAGCCTCCCACTAGGCAAAGAAATGCAAAAGTGGTAAAAAGACATTTTTTCCTAAGAAATTAGTAAAGCTGTTTTTTTTTTTTTTTAAATCTTAGTGATTGTTGTTGATCAGGATGGACCTCAAACTCTGCCAGTGAAAATATAAATGAGTAACATCTTCCTGAAAAGTGGTTTGGAAAAAATGTGTCAAAGGCTTAAAGATATTAATACCCTTGGATTACAGTTGCCAGACTTAGCAAACTGCATGGGACAAACTTACTAAGATTTATCCATCACTTAAGATGGATAGAAACTAGAAACTAAAATTCTAGTTTAATGGGGTATCCTGTATTTTGTCTGTTAATTCTACTTTAATCCCACCTTTAGGACTCTACCTTACGGAAATATCTAGAGAAAAAGACAAATATTTCTGGACATTCTCTGCAGCAAAGCTATATATTGGTTAAAGATGAAGAAAAACCTATATGTCAGTATTATAGAAATGGTCGCATAAATTCAGGCATGTCCATATAAGGTGGAAGTATGTCATCATCGTAAACTACACAGTGAAGGGTAAAACCACGAGCTGTTTCCAAACTCTGGGCAGACTGGGCTTTTGCTGGGGAACCCGCTTCAGTTAATCTCTTGGTTACATGATGGTAAACGCCCCCAGAAAGCTGAGAGGGGACATTTAAAACCAGATGCCAAACTGCTCTGCAGCCTGAGGCAAGGATTCAGGGAATAGTGGAGGAGGCTCTGGAAGTTTCCAGTGGGCCCCCAGCAGACGGTGACAGGCCAGCCCAAGGACAGAGAGAGTCAACAAGTGATGTTAGGAGAATTCTGGCTGGATATGGGGAGCAGTGAAATCCAATATCCAACAGTTTGGTCTGAAATTTTCATTTTCTACACGGAAACATTACACATATAAGCTCACCGTCCCTTACCTGCCATTCTGAAAGCCCCAAAGCTCTGACGACCAAAAGGTTTTGGTTTGTTTTTATTTTTTTTTTTATTTATTTATTTTTTTTTAAAGATTTTATTTATTTATTTGACAGAGAGATCACAAGCAGGCAGAGAGGCAGGCAGAGAGAGAGGAAGAAGCAGGCTCCCTGCTGAGCAGAGAGCCCGATGCGGGGCTCGATCCCAGGACTCTGAGATCATGACCTGAGCCAAAGGCAGCGGCCCAACCCACTGAGCCACCCAGGCGCCCCTTGGTTTGTTTTTAAAGATAATGTTGGTGCCAAACTTATTCGGCAGTCTCACTGGACCTGATAGATTTGTAGTCTTTGTCCCATGTCTTGGGGATATTCACACATCTTACTGTAGAAAGGTCAACGCACTCCTGCTCAAGACAGAATATATCCTAAGTATAGATGTATGCTCTCACCTTTCTGAAGTTTAATACGTTCTGGTTCTCAAATGCACCTGGACCCAGGGTTACAGACAGAGGGGCTAAGGACCAGCAATTCTCTTTATGTGTCATCAAGTTCCCTTTAAACACTACAGCCGGAGTCAGTCAGGCTAGCAGAAATGGAGGGAGGGATGGGTGTCCACCCCCCGGGGGACAGTGGGCCTTAGAAAGCTCAGTTGTCCACACAGGTGGGCAAAAGATGATCAGAGCGGACTGGAGAGAGGCCAGGCACAGCCTCGGGGAGCTGGAAGTATGGGAACAGCCAAAATTCCTGATGAACTCCAGGGAGACAGAGACCCCTCTGGCCTGGGATAGGAGAGAGAATGAAAGCCAACCGCAGGTTGGGAAAAGTGGGTGGAGGAGCAGATGCAGATTTCTGTCTGGTCATGGCACAAGTCTGAGAGATGGCCGACGACGGTCTTCATCTGGTGGTGACATGAGGAGGTTTTCAAACCTAGATGGCAAGAGGCCCACCAGAGACCCATCCTGCGGGCTTCCCCATCATTCCCCAGGCAACGTCCAGCTGTATTCCCTACCGCTGCCTTCACAAAGGACTACAAACCTTGTGGCTTCCAACAAGGCAAGCATACAGTCTCACAGTTCTGGAGGTCAGAAGTCCTCAAGGGGTCTTGCTGGGCTCCAGCCGAGGTGCTGGTAGGACTACTTCCCCAGCTGGGGGCTCAGGGGAGGGCCACCTTGCTAGCCCCCAGCTCCTGGGCTCCTGACTTGCTTCCATCCAGAAAGCCTGACTCCCATGGGTCCCACACCAAAGCTTCGCCACCTCCTTCCTAAGGATGCCAGTGACTACGCTGGCCCACCTGGGCAATCCATGCCCCTTATTCTCCCTATTTAAACTCTGCTGACAAGCAACCCTAATTCCATCGGCTACCTTCCCCTTGACCGTGTACAGTAACAGTCACAGGATCCGGCGATTAGCACACAGACATCTTTGGAGGCCACCACTCTCCCTCCACAGGTGTGTAGGTATGTTACAGAACACGAGGCAGGCAGCCTGCATACTGAAAATACTGAGTAACACAGGAATGCAATGAAGAATTCCTCAGCGTTCAGAGGGAGGCTCGGGTAGAAGACTGTATTGACCGAGGACTCCTGAATAGAGAGCCCGCTAGGACATCTGGCATGTAACCTATCTCGTTGCAAATGACTTGGCCTCTGGACAAGGACATCCCAACCTCCTTGGTTTCCAACACCACCCTCTACCTCCCAGTTCAGTGCCCATTCCTGCCTTCCCCCCTCGGTGTGTACCTTCCCGTCTGGAATCAGTCTGCAGGGCTCTGACTTTGGAAGACTGCATTTTGGCTTCCATCCTCAAACTCAGCTCAGGCAATCCCATGCTCCCTCAAGCTTCTCAGGTTCCTCCCTCCTGCCCTGGAATGGTTGATCTTAGATACCTCCTCAGCGGGCAAGCTCCTCACTTTCCCCCACTCCCGAATATCGGGAGGCTCCTAGAGTGGACCAGCTGGTCTCCCTGGGGAAGGAGACAGGCCACCAAAGCCATATATTTACAGCTCTGGTTACTCATCTGCCTCCGTCAGAGACTAGCAGATGTGCAGCCTTGATCTAGAGAGCAGGAGGGGGCTCACGAACCCTGCATCCTGCTCCAGGGACAAAGCGTACCAGGGCAAGGAGGTCTGAACGGCAGGGGCGGCAATGAAGGGCTGGGTGAGGAGAGGAGCTGTTGTAAGAGACAAGGAGCAGGGGGGACAGCTGAGGGTAGGGACCCCATCTGGGGATTGTAATTTGGCAAGTTGTACTTGTAATCCCACAGGAAAGAGCTGTCCCTTGCTCTCCTCCAGCCCTGGATGTCCCCCATCCCAGAGAGCGTGACTGGTGCCCACAGGCAGGCCGACCGAGTGGCTTAAGCTGCTGGCCTGCGGGGAAGGCCAAAGACTAGCTGGCCTAAGCCAGATAGGAAGCAAGAAGAGCCTGGAAGGTGCACAGATGAGGTAATAGTCCCCAGGCAGGGTGGCCATTCCGAATGCCCTGGCATTACGTGGTTAGTATGTTCCCCAGTGGTTTCCCGAACAGGCCACAGTCCCACTCACCAAGCTCTCCTTTATGTAGGCAGCTGTGGGGCCCGGGATCTGGCTCAGGAGGGCTGCTCTCTCCTGGGGTTGCTCCAGCATCTCCAGGGCCAGTTTCAAGTCCTCAACGAGATGGAGCACTGGAAAGGGGTTTGTGTGGGAGGCCGGAGAGGCTCGAGCAGGCTCACAGCCACTGTCATTGGTATCTGCACCTGTCTGAGTGCCTGGAATAAGAAAGAGGTGGGAACCTGGTAAGAAGGGCGGATGCCATGGGCAAGGAACTGGCAAAGGGCAAAGAGAGAGGAGATAGGGGACAGAGATGGACAGGAAGCCCAGAAAACCACTTCTGCCTCAGCAGAACCATTCACACAGCAGACTCGGCAGAAATCATCTTTAATCCTGGACTGGGCCTGACAGGAAGAGACGGGACCAAGGTGGATGACTTGCCCAGCAAGAGTGATGCATAGAAGCTAAGAGCCCCAGACAACTGGGTGAAAACAGCCAGCCCTGATCAGGAGCCAAAACATGCCTGCTCAAACAATGAGCAGCCTTTCTGCTGCCTTTAGATTCCTTACTTTAACACTGTAGGGCTGTCTGCATGGTCCCCTCCCTGGAGGTGCATTCCTCTCCTCTGTTCCACAGCAGTTCCTCACTCTGGGCTGGCCCTGTACGGTGTCGCAGAGTGACGCAGTGCCACCTCTGGTGAGCACTGGTGAGCTTCTAGCAGACTGGGATTTTTCTAGATCTTCCCACTTGGGGGATCTCTACATCCCCTTATAGACTCCCACTTCACAGCTGTATGAGTGACCATGTAATCCACATCTCATCCCCGTGTCATGGGCTGTGAAGCTCTGAGGCCAGGGTCCCTGGGGTCCCGGCGCCTGCCCCCAACCCCCCAAGATGCTGAAGGGGCATCTGGCTCTGCACGCTTGCTTGGAGGAACAGCTAAGAGAGGGAGACAGCTTGGACTGGGTCAGCTCTAATTTCAAGTGTCCCAAACAAGACTTGTTTTTGCCTTTCTGAACCTCACCATTTAAGCAAACAAACAAAAAGTCTTCTTTACATAAACACAGTGGTTTATTTTTCAGACCAAAAACCGGGGTGACACAGTCTGACAAAGGATTTCTGTGCTTCTTTCCGCAATAAAACACACTTCAGAAAATACGGGGTCGGTGGTGGAATTTCTAGGGTACTTGGATTGTTTATAAGGCCAGCGGGAATCAGGACCCTGCTGGAAAATGTGGGCAATAGGGCCACCGCAGCCCCAAATACACGGCAGGCCTGACGTCTACATCTAGGTCCCTCCACCCTTCTAAGCGCCAGCTTCCTAGTTGCCACGGCAGTCTTTGCAAGGAAAAATCCACACAGAAGGAAACAATTACTATCTGATTGCTGGTTTGCTTTCTGAAAGCACAGGATAGAGGGAACTGTGGGTCACAATCCACAAACAAGTCCATGGCTCTGGTGAGCTGGGAAACTGCCCGTTACCCACACTCTGGTGTGTGCTCAGCAGTTTCTGGGCCCTGCAAATCCAATGGAGAGTTGACTGGGAAGGGCCACAGCCGGCTTCAGGGAAGAAAATGGACCGAAATAGAGCAAGACCCCCCATCCCTGCCACCACCCCAGTCTCCAAGCAAATGATGAGTGATCCCTGACCATCCCAGACATGCTCCAACATGCACAACTTCATTCATGGAGGATCAGTCAGGCCAGTCAGACCAGGGGTAGGCAGGAAGACTGAGATTTATATTAACCTTATGCTACGCTGTGGTGTTGGACAAGTATCTTCCTTTCTCTGGGGCCCTCCCTGCCCTAAAGCCTTGGGATGCTTCCCTACTGTTCAAGGGGTGTGTGTGAGTGTGTACACATGTGTATCTGTGCCTATTTTTTTTTTCTGTGCCTATTTCTGTATGTGATGTATGTATACATAAAGTACATAATCCCCCCCTTCTTTTGTTTTGCAATTTACATCAACACACAGGCTCACAAAAGGGTCCAGAATGGTGAAACTCCTAGGGCCCAGCATTAGCAAAGGCAAAAATCACCCAGAAGATTCAATTCCATACTCCACACATTCCCTTTGGATGATTAGTTCCTACGGAAAAATTACAACCACGGAGGGAACCAAATCAAAATGGAACTACCAGATACAACAAAGAAGAAGATATATGCCCTCATACCTGTGAAGATAATGGAGCAAGATAAAAGAGACGATAATATAACATATAACACAAAATATAAAAGAGACAAGGTGTTACGCCCCAAATTACTTCTAGGAAAAGAGCAATTCACCTTATACTCAAACCCTAATAAAGTTTCTCTCTGGGGGCACTCTGTCACTTTATTGAACAACAAGGCACTCTTTGGGGAAGACAGATTAGCACGAAAGGTTTCAATTTTATATGCACATTGAGTTTTACAAACTACAGATGCCTGGGCCCCACATCCGAGGTTCTAATTGGTCTGAGGTGTGACCTAGAAGAATAAAAAGCTCCCAGATGACTTGTGTGCAGCCCAAGCTGAAACCACTGCACCAGCAAATCACCACAATCAATACTGAATTTTGATGTTTAGGGAGGTCACCTGGGAATTTTTATTTTAAGGATAAAAACACTAAAGCTTAATACAGATTTAGTAATTATTAGAGGAAATAAGACCCCATAAAATGGAAGCATAGGATTTTACTGGAAGCCTTCTAATGATCACTTTCAAAGGCAAGTAAGTAGGTATGCCGTAATAACTAGGGTTATTTATAGATGCTTTGCTTCTCCTCTATTTGAGCTCATATAGTGGGATTAAGCGTTTGCCCCTTAAAGTTATTTAAGGCCACATGACTTCCTTTGGCCAATAAATATCAAAGTCTTTAAGAAACAATACATGATTCCCCATATCTCTTCTACCTGCTCTAGCCTCTGGTAATGGTGGAGACTGAATCAGCCCACGTCCAAGAGAGAGGATGACAGAGACCAGAGCTCCCAGCAGATCTAGGGAGAACTTAGAAGATGAACAAGAAATAAACTATGCTGTTTCAAGCTAGTGATCTTTCAGGCTGTTATGCTGTAGTAACACAGTCCTATCTTCCCTTATACAAAGTATGTATGTCATAGGGTCACATATGTGAAAGATAAACTTTTCAAAAATGACCTTTTAGTGGGTTCAAACTTAAGTGACCATCAACTTAATACAGACTCTCTATGTGTAAGATGTTGACCACAAATCAAAGACAGGCAAAATATAAAGAGAAGGAATCCAAGTATATTAGAAAAACAAAGCGAGCAAATTGTGAGAAAAGAGCAAGAAAATAAAGGAACAGAGAAGAACTATAAAACAACCACAAAACAAGTAACAAAATGGCAATAAGTTCATACCTAACAATAATTATTTTGTAAATGGATTAAAAGCTCCAAACAAAAGACATAGGGTGGCAGGATGGATAAAAAACAAGACCCGGGACGCCTGGGTGGCTCAGTTGGTTAAGCAGCTGCTTTCGGCTCAGGTCATGATCCCAGCGTCCTGGGATCGAGTCCCACATCGGGCTCCTTGCTCTGCAGGGATCCTGCTTCTCCCTCTGCCTCTGCCTGCCATTCTGTCTGCCTGTGCTTGCTCTCTCTCTCTCTCATAAATAAATAAAATCTTAAAAAAAAAAAAAAACAAGACCCATCTATATGCTGCCTACAGGAGATGCATTTCAGACCTACAGACAAATGCAGATTGAAAGCAAAGGGATATAAAGCATTTCTCATGCAAATTGAAGTGAAAAGAAAGCCTTGGTAGCAATACTCACATCGGAGAAAACAGACTTTAAAACAAAGACTATAACAAGAAAAAAAGGACATCACACACTCGTAAGGGAACAATCCAACAAGAAGATGTAACAGTTGTAAATATTTATGCACTCAACATGGGAGCACCCAAATACATAAAGCAGCTAATAACAAACATAAAGGGAGTAACTGAGAGTAATATAATAATAGTAGGGAATTTTAACACCCTACTTACATCAATGGATAAATCTTCCAAGCAGAAAACCAACAAGGAACAGTGGCTTTGAATGACATCTTGGACCAGATGGAGCTAAAACCGATATACTCAGAACATTTCATCTGAAAACAGTAGGGTACACATTCTTTTCAAGTGCATATGGAACATCTTCCAGAATAGATCACATAACAAGTCTCAACAAATTTAAAAGCACTGAAGTAATACCATGCATCTTTTCCAACCACAATGCTAGGAAACTAGAAATCAGCCACAAGAAAAAGTCTGAGAAGAACACAAATACATGAAGTTAAATAACATGCTACTGAACAATGAATGGGTCAAAGAGGAAATTTAAGAAGACGTGGAGACAAATGAAAATGGAAATACAATTGTCCAAAATCTTTGGGATAAAGCAAAAGCTGTTCAAAGAGGAAAGTTTGTAGCAATACAGGCCTACCTCGAGAAGCAAGAAAAATCTCAAATAAACAACCTACTCTTATACCTAAAGGAGTCAGAAAAAGAACAAACAAAAGCCAAATCCAGTTGAAGATAGGAAATAATAAGATTAGAGCAGAAATAAACAACATAGAAACTAAAAAAAACAAAAAAACAAAAAACCCAATAGAACAGATCGATGAAACCAGGAACTGGAAAACATCGATAATATTAATAAACCTTTAGCCAGACACATCAAAGAGGGAAACAGAGAAAGGACTCAAATGAACAAAATCAGAAATGAAAAAGGAGAGTTAAACAACCAACACAATAGAAATACAAAGGACACAAGAGCATATTATGAAAAATTATATGCCAACAAACTGGAAAACCTAGAAGAAATGGATAAATTCCTAGGAGCATATAACCCCCCCAAAACTGAAACAGGAATAAACAGAAAATTTGAACAGACTGATTACCAGCAATGAAATTGAGTCAGTATTAAAAAAAAAATCCCAAGAACAACAACAAAACTCCTAACAAACCAAAGTCCAGGACCAGATGATTTCACAGGTAAATTCTACCAAACACCTATAAAGATGAGTTAATACCTAGTCTTCTCAAACTATTCAAAAAAAAAAAATAGAAGAGGAAGGAAAGCTTCTAAATTCATTCTATGAGGTCAGCATTAATCCTGATACCAAAATCAGATTAAGACACTACAAAAAAAGAGAACTATAGGCCAGTATCTCTAAAGAATATAGATGCAAAAATCCTCAAAAAATATTAGGAAACAAAATCCAACAAT